GGTCTTCTCGGGCCCACAGCAAAAAAGCAGACACCTCTATGAAGATCCTGCTCGTTTCCTCCAGTCAGTCACGGGGATGGGGGAGGGGGGGGAGGGCACTCGGGTTCCTTGGGGACCGTTGCCTCTGTTCCTCCTAACCTGCAGGAGGTCCGAAACCTGCAGGACCCCCCCCCGAAACGAAAGAAGGCAAGACGCCTGGAAAGCATGGAAACTCCAACTGCTCCCCCTTGGGGGTGAAGATGAAAAGGGCTGCCTGACCGCGTTGGGGCCAGGATCAGGGACCTCTGGTTGTCGTTTTGCGAAAGACCATGGCCACGTGAGCGAGAACCTTCTGTATTTTACAAGGGTTCATTTGCGGGCCAGGCATATCGCGAGGAGGAGGAGGAGGAGGAGGAATGGGGGCATGGAGGGAGGAGGAGGAGGAGGAGGTAGAGGAGGAGGAGGAGGAGGAGGAGGAGGATTGGGAGGAATGGGGGCATGGAGGGAGGGGAGAGGAGGAGGAGGAGGAGGAGGAGGAGCATCACTTGGCTGATGAGGGAGGCTAAGGGTTGGCCGACCCGACCATAACACGAAACCTCGTTTTCTAGTTTTCCTTCTCTCCCTTGCGCCCTGGGCTCTTAAGTCCTTCCTCTTCTCTCATCAGTAACCTTAATGTCTGAGCCACGCAAGAAGGAGGAGGAGGCGGAGGAAGAGGAGGACGAGGAGGAGGAGGACGAGGAGGAGGAAAGCATCTGGCCGAGGGTGCCGGCCGGGCGGGGTCGGGGCTGGGGCTCACGCGCCGCGCGGCGAGTCGCCGGCCGCGGCGCCGTTCAGGCCGCACGCGGCACCCGAGGTCGGCCCGCCCCTCGGGCCTGGCATGGAGTCGGGCACGGCGCCCTCCACGCAAGCGGTGGCGGAGCGTCCCGGCTCGCCAGGCCCACAAGGGAATCTGCACGCACGAGATGGGCACGGAAAGAAGGGGCACAATGCCCAACAGCCGTTCTTGCTCCTTTTGAACAGGGCTCGCTGTCCGCGCCGCGGCCTGTGTCCATTCGAGACAGAAGGCCGCCTGCCCAGCAGCGGCCGCTTGTTGGTTTGGGACAACATTTATTGTTGGGCATTGCACCCATTTTTTCCGTACCCATTTCGGGCGTCCAAAACTCAAGCGGTGGCGAAGCATCTTGGCTCGCATACAGGCCCACCAGTGCATGGTCTAAGAACCTTCTGTGGTCTCCACGAGGTGTTCTCAGAGCATTTCTGGCTGGGGCTGTCGCGTTTCAGCACATCGGGCTCGTGTTCTGAGAACATTGCTTTGGTTATTTTGAACATGTTCGGGTTCTAAGAACGTCTAGTGGTAGGCCTATAGAAATGCCGGGACGGTCGGTCCCTGCTCAACCCTCGGGCCTTGCATTACGTCGGGCATGTCCCTCCACAGGAGGAATCTTCAAAAGCACTTTAAAATTAGTCTGGGGACGATTTCACAACTATTTCTGAGGAAGTTTGAAAAATTCTTCGTTGGCTAACCCCAGGAAGCATTTAAGACCCCCCCCCCCCTTCCGGCAAATCGATAACCCTTCCGCACCCTGGAAGCGTTACTTGGCACCAGGAGCCCTCCTCCTCCTCCTCCTCCTCCTCCTCCTCCTCCTCCTCCTCCTCCTCATCCTGAGTCTTTCATGAGAGCCACGCAGATTTGAATTTCGAATTTCGATTGTAGCCCAGGGGCCAGGCCTCCGCGAATTTGTTGTGTGTCCGGGTGCTAAACCTATCGTGCGGTTATTTCGGCCCCTCGGAATATCGAATAAAAATGCGGTGCTAAGATATCGCCGGGGGGGTTCTTAAATGCTTCCTGGGGTTATGTTTCATTTTGTCTTTCGAAATCCGCCTGTGGGAGGACATGCCCAGCTTGAGCCCTGTAGCCGCCCGCGGGGCTGCTGCTGTTGACGCGGGGCGGCGGGGGGACCCTCCCTCGCCGCCCTGGGAAGAATTGCACGAACATAAACGTTTGGCGCTCCGCTCGGATTTCTTGGATCCGCTCTGGGTCCCCCTGGCGCCGCCCCTGGCGCCGCCCCTGGCGCGCTCCGCGCGCCAGGGAGGGGGGCCCAACCCCCGTCGCCAACCCCCGTCGCCCCGCGATTTGCCGGGAGGCGGCACCCCCCTCGCGCCCTGCTGCTGCGCCGCGCGGCGCAAGGCGGCGAGTGGGCGAGGGGGGGGGGGCAACATTCAGTCGGGCACGTCCCTCTACAGGAGGAATATTCGAAAATCATCAAAAGATAGTCTGAGGACGATTTTTTGAATATATCTGGATTTCAAAAATAGTCCAAAAATAGTATGGAGACGATGTTTAAGTTATTGATTCAACAATTTCGAATATGTGTTGCTTATTGTTTCCTCCAAAATCTGCCTGTAGGGAAACACGCCCGACCTAGCCCTGGCGGTACGAGAAACGCCCTACTCCCCTCGTTTGCTTGTTCGCCCCGCTCCCAGCCCCTCGGCCGGCTGCGCCGCAGCGGCCTGCCTCGCG